ATGCACAACAATTTATCGCCGCCAACCCAAATTCAAATCTTGCCAGACCATTCGCATGGAATCCAATTACGGTTTCCGAATTTAAATTTTTTTGGGGCCTAACCCTCAACATGGTCATGTTGTAAAAAAAAAAATGAATTGCGGATGTATTGGTCCACAGACCCAATTCATCATATGCCCATGTTCTCTGCTGCCATGGCCGGGCATAGATATGAGAGTATAATGTGTTTTATGTATTTCAACGACAATACACTCTGTCGTACTCAGGGTGACCCTGAATTTGACTGGCTCCACAAAATTCGGCCCCTTGTAAATCACCTTAACCAAAAATGTGCAGATGTTTTATACCCCCCAGCAAAAAATCTGCCTTTGACGAGTCCCTCATTAATTTTTCTGGCCACCTTGCATTCAAACAATTTCTCCCCAGCCTACAGCGGCAGGAATCATCCTGGTATCATTTTTTTCAGCCGGCGATATACAATCTTAGTGGCTAATTAGCTGCAGGATTGCTTTTACAAGCAGCGGGAGACTATGCCCCCCTCCCCCGCTACCTTCCACGGCCTTCTCGCGCAGTCCCGTGCCATCGGGGGAACCTGAGAATGTAGCCGATGTTTTTGCCAGCAATGGTGCCAATCATCTTTACAGTCTAAGAAATCGGAAGCTACGAGCATTTCATTACTTAATTTTTGCAGGCTATAAACAGCGCTATTTGCAAACTGCGAAAGCATCTGATCACACCGATCTTGGTGAGATTAGATAATGTAAGGGCAGAGGAGATATCTAGAGTCTAATAGACCCCAGATTTCTCAAAAAAAAATATATGACAATGCCCATTGACGTTATAGGGGATATTTTCATTCCCTGTGATAGCATTAAAAGTGATTAACAAAAAAAGTAAATACTTGGCCAATATATTGGGTTTTGTGCATTAAAAGTAAACAAAAAAAAGTGTTTTTTTTTTTTTCTTTCAAACAATTTGCGGTTGAAAAATCGCTGCACGAGTACTATGTGACATAAAAAATTGCAGCACCCACCATTTTATTCACTAGGGTGTCGGCTTTAAAAAAAATACATGTTTGGCGGTTCAAAGTAATTTCCTAGCAAAATTTTTTTTTTTTTTTTCATGTGAACAAAAAGTGTCAGAAAAGGCTTGGTCTTCAGATGGTTAGAAGACTGAGTGATGTGTGGCATAAACTTCTAATGCTGGGCATAAAATGCCCCCACCCCCCCCCCCCCCCCCCCCCCAAACAACCCCTTTTTGGAAAGTAAAAAAATTTGCTCACACATGCCGTGGGTATATGTGGAATTACTCCCCAAAATACATTATGCTACTTCTCCCAAGTATGGGGGTACCACATGTGAGAGACTTTTTGGCAGTCTAGCCAAGTACAGCACCCCAGAATCCAATAAGCACCTTCAGGCTTTTAAAGGGCTTTAATTTCCTCATTACACTTCTTGACTACCTATCACGGTTTCAAAAGGCCTGAAATGCCAGGATAGCATCAAACCCCCCCAAATGACCACTTTCTGGAAATTAGACACCTCAAGGAATTTGATAAGAAGATGGTGAGTATTTTGCAGATCTCGTTTGTTGCCACAAGTTTTTGAACTTAAAAACTTAGATCTGCAAAATACTCACCATGCTTCTTATCAAATTCCGTGGGGTTACTACTTTCCAAAAAGGGGTAATATTTTTTTTTTGGGGGGGGGGGGGGGTTGGTGCTAACCTGGCATTTCAAGGCCTCAAATTGTGATAGGTAGTGAGGAAGTGAAATGAGGACGTTACGCACCTTCAGGCTTTCAAAGTGGTCATTGGATTTCACGCTCCTGTATGTGGCTAGGCTTCCAAAACGTCTCACACATGTGGTATCCCCATACTTGGTAGAAGTAGCAGAATGTATTTTGGGGTGTAATTACACATATACCCATGGCTTGTGCTTGTGTGAGAAATATATCAATTTAAATGACAACTTTTTGTTTAAAAAAAAAACCAAAACAAAAGTTTGTCATGTTCCAGAAACTTTTTCCATGGACTCAATATGCCTCTCAGCAGATAGCTTAGGGTGTCTACTTTCTGAAAAGGGGTCATTTTGGGGTGTTTGTACTATCCTGGTATTTTAGCACCACAAGAAATGTGATGGGCAGTCAGAAAGTAAAAGCTGTATAAATTCCATTATCTATACCATAGTTTGTAAATGCTAGAACGTTCAAACAAAGCAATCAATAGACACTTTTTTTTAAACCAAAAATATGTAGCAGAATATATTTTGGCCTAAATTTATGACAAAATTGGAGTTCTTTGGATATTTTTTTATGACAGAAATGAGAAAATATATTGTTTTTCAAAAATTTGTTTATAGCGCCAAAAATAAAAAGCGTACAGGTGATCAAATACCACCGAAAGAAAGCTCTATTTTGTGAAAAAAAAAGGACATCAATTTAATTTATGTACCGTATTGCATGACCACGCATTTGTCAGTTAAACTAGGGCAGCGCTCTAAATTTATGACTAACTGAGTGTACTATATATTTTTTTTTATAGCCGAAAGTAAAAAATAAAATTTTTCTTAAAAATTTTCAGCCTTTTTTTGTTATAGCGTGAAAAATAAAAAGTGCACAGGTGATCAAATACCACCAAAAGAAAGCTCTAATTGTGTGGAAAAAAGGACGTACACTTCGTTTGGATACAGCATTGCATGACCGCGCAATTATCAGTTGAAATAGTGCAGAGCCAAATAGCAAAAAGAGGCCTGGTCATTAAGGGGGGGTAAATCCTCAAGATGGCAAGTTGTTAAAAAATGTTTCCCAGCAATAACTAATTTATGTGGTCTTTTATTAAACTCGCCAGTATCCTCCCCCAACTATAAAAGTTAAACAAACAGGTCTATAATTACTTGGTAAAGATTTTGATCCCTTTTTAAATATAGGCAACACATTGGCCTTACACCAATCCAGTGGTACTATGCCAGTCATTACAGAGTCCCTAAAAATTAGAAACAATGGCTTGGTGGGTGTATGCCATCCAGTCCAGGTGCTTTATTCACCTTTATTCTGTCTAAATATTTCTGTATCATATCATATTATGGCCTCTGGATTCAGCATTAGCAAGTAACTAGGTGATTTGGGTTGAAGTATTGCATGGCTGTGGCAAAAACTTTAGCCAGGAGGGTCTAGCCACAACCCAAGAAGCCAACGTGTATTCAGAGGATGGAACAGACTCTAAAAGCAGGAGAACAATGTGATTCTAAGCTGCAGATGTTGACTCCATCACTAAGTACACTGAAAACAGGAGCAACCTTAAGATACACATGGATGTTTGCAAGCAGGAGCAGCAGGTAGATGCTTTTTCAGCACTGTACGGCACACAACACTCCACCCAGAGTATAATACCAACACTGAGTCCCAGCATTGTGAACCCATTCTCCTGTAAAACCAATGGGAACAGGGAATTATGGCATCCAATGATCTAAGTAAATGAGGTGGCCCCAAGGACTCAGCCTGACAAGCCTATTCACCAACTTTGTCTTCAGAGACAAAGCAAGCATTGAGGCAAGGGTATCAGGAAACTGCTCTTCAGCTTATTTTTACAAGAAAGGAGCCTTCAAAACACTATATGCAGTGCCTGAAGGTCATTTCCAGGCTAACACTGTGTCCAGTGCAATGGGCAGTACTCCAAAACGCCAGATTAAGGACAACCACACTAATCAGAAAGGTATAGAACAGTTTTCGTCAGAGAGAAAAAAAAAAGGAAAGAAAAAACATGCTAGCATAAAAAGTTATGTCTTTAGCACAGTAGAGCTGCAGAGCATCTGGGACACTATAAAAAAACTGAAGCATTTTGGTAACTGGCTGGAGTCATGCTGGAGTCATCCTGGACTGGCCTACAGTTTTTTTTTTGTTCCTACAGAGTTCCTTTGTCCTCGAATAGATGAGGCAAGAATAACAGCTCTTCTATTACTATCTAATGTGCTTCTTTCCATATCAATTCAAGCTACATCTACTACCATGTATTACCACCTAATGAGCTTCTTCTCACATTACTTCCAATTATTTTTGCAACCAAATAATGTCACATAGGGTGCTTACGCCCATAATTTTCAACTACTACTACCGCCAAATAATGCCACTTAATGAGCCTCTATCCACATTTCCAACTACTTCTACCACCACATGATTCCATCTAAAGTGCTACTCTTTACATACATTATAGCTACCGCTACCCTGATACCATCACTGAATGTGCTTCATCCCATATTATTTCCACCTACTTGTATTTCTTCTGCAATCATTACAAACAAATGGCAACTGCTCTTCTGCAAATACCATAATGGTAGATTATAAAATCTTTTATAGAAAAATAAGCATACTTTGAAATTTACAAGCTGCATTATATATAATGCAGCTCTATGTGTGAAGTCCCATAGATGGAAGGCAAAATACTCTATAAGGGCCTTGTCTCAATGGCCTCAGCTTGACATCATTTTGAGACTCTTCTAAGATCATTTAAAATAAATCACAAATGTATCTAACCTGCAGTTGGCCTGTCTGACCAGCTTTTGGAGAAAAAAAAAAAAAATTGGACTTGTATGGGGATGCAAAACCTACCTGAAGTGAACAAAAGCCTGTTAACTTAGGACATAATTTGTGCACTTATTTAAATTTGATCTTCCACTCAGGGAGCCCAAGGTTCAAGAAAAGCCAATATACATTCCCCAGAACAGTAGTGTTTGGACATTCCCTATTACCTCGCCTATGACTGGAAAAAAAACAGAATCAACGATAAACTAAAATTTCCTAAGTATCATGATTTGGTTTCCTGCTATATAAGTTAGTGGCGCACATACACAATCAGCAATATACAGACTTATGGGTTAAGTAAAAGTTTTTAATGTCCATTTCATATAAGGCATAACACATCTCTATCATACTAGCAAAGATCAAATTAATGATCTAGTTAAAAAAAAAAAAAAAAATACCTTTGTACAATAGTGCCAACTTACCTGAACAAGAAATATGATGAGAAAGTAGAAATTGGCTATTCTTCTAAATTGTTCAAACAAATTTTTTGGAACAAAATTCAACACCGTGTACTGAAAAGAAAAGAGGAAATAGCTGTAAATGCATTTACAAAAAAAAAAAAAAAAAAAAAAAACCGGAAAGAAGACTTCAAAAATTTGGAGGAAAAAAAAAAAAGCATAAAAAACACCAATAATACTCATAAGACACTGCATTATTAAAGTATACATTTCCAGGCTTCTTTATCTACAAACGTTTTGCTGAGTTTTTGGTTTGTTAAACAAAGAAACATGTATCTTACGAAGAAATTTAAGTGTAAAAAAAATGGAAAAGAAGTTTGTTTGTAAGACTATATTTCAAATGATTCCACAGAATAGGGGAAGAGAGTAGGAAAAGGAGAATAAAGGAAAAAAGAAAGGACAGAGGAAAAAAGGTATGCAAGAAGAAAAAGGGAGAGGTTCCTAAGGGGTGGGGAGGGCTGCAGAGCCCGGCAGAGCACTCAACCCAAAGTGAGCTGAGATGGAGCGATCCAGATTCATGTGGCTATTTGTAGTCCAACCTTTATGGAATCTAGAGTGTACTCCACTAAGTCACGGGTGTCAAACTGGCGGCCCTCCAGCTGTTGCCAAACTAGTCCCATGAGGCATTGCAAGATTGACAGTTACAAGCATGACTCCCAAAGGCATTATGGGACTTGTAGCTTTGCAACAGCTGGAGGGCCGCCAGTTTGACACCCCTGCACTAAGTATTGTGGTAAGTTTATCATGCACCATAATGCCCACCATTCTGTTTCACTTTTGCAAAATTGTTTCCAAGCTTTAGCCAACATTTGCCTAGCCACTAGGAATGCAAACTCCAGCTTCTGCTCACACTCCGCAAGATCTGAAATAGGTCTATGTAACAGACCTTCCCAGGGATTCCGATTGGGACTGATTTTCACAACTGTTCTAAGCATGTTGTATATGTATATTCAAAAGCGAGTGGCCATGGGGCAGAGCTACCAAAATGTGTTTGAAGGTACCTTGTTCTCTGCAACCTCGGAAACAAGTCAGTGAGGCAAATTTGGCTGTATGATCTGGTGTCATATTCCAGCAAGGGAGCACCTTATATGCATTTTCTTCAGCCAGTATGTTAAGATGGCATTTTGAAGTGGTTGTACAAATTTTGTTCCTGCTAATCCATGTATGGGAGTTCAGTTGGGCCTATGAAATCAATGAGTGATATGTATAGGGTTGAAACCACGACCATAGGAAAGGGTCCTTAATGCAGCTATTGTCAAAAAGATGTTAAGCGTATACGAAATTCTGTGCGTCCCTGGCTTTCTTTAATAATTATGCTGACAATGTTTCTAAAGGATAGGTTACACAAAACGACTACAGTATAGATTAATGGTAGTCAACTCAGAGCATTGTAAGGGTCCTTGGGTGCAGCCTTCGACATGTCTGGAGGGGTGCACAATAAATTAGCTTTCATAAATTTATGTTTTGTTAACATGCAGTTAAAAGGTATGTCTTACCACATGTTATTGCAATGATTGGTAACCAAAGTACTGCTGTGGGTGCATTGCAATGTTAATCATTCTGAATGACACCCCAACTCAGTTACAATAGGGGGCAACACACCCACACTGCACTCCCAGTGCTCAATAGCAGAAGCAGAAGCCCAGGAGCAGATAGATTTAGCTACTATGTTTACTATGCTGGACAGCGGCCAACACTGACAGCAGGCAGTTTCAGTGCTAAAGTCTGCTGGAGCCGCTGTCACGCAGTGTGAAATCTATTGGGCATCAATGATCTATTTGCATATGGACTGCTGTAAGATCTTTTTTTTTTTTTTCTAGCTGACTTTATTATACACGTTTTACAAAAATAATATATAATTATGAATATGGGTAATTTAACAAATTTATTTAAAAAAATACTTCTACACACACCTCTGTCAGACAACCCTCTGCAGCTAAAGGCAGGCAGTTGTCTTGCGCCGACAATCTGTGGACTGTGTCCGGAAGCTGCCTGACATCTCCACGGATTGATTTAGTTCCTAGCCTTAGTCCTGGATTGTGGCTGTCACTGACAACTTAGCTTTATATGTTTCTAGCCTTCCTTTTCGCTAAACTGCTCATTGAACAATGAGCCAACGTCACCACCTCTGTCCAGTGAGTTAACCCAGGAAGCAGTCATGCTAAGCCAGTAAGTAGCTGAATGATCTTAAGTGTGCATCACAAGAACAGTTGTCCAGAATTAAAAATGCTTTGGGAGGTAGAGAAGTGAACTTACAAGCTTACCACACAATTTGTATGCAGGGCAGCACACCTAAGTGCAAAAGAATGGATTAAACCTTCTGATTTTGTGCAGGTGAGGGTACTGCTCTACACTACACTCGAACCTACTGCAGTAAACAATTAAAAAAAAAAAAAAAAAAAAAAAAAGACAGGTCTTCTAAATTTTGTGTAATGCTTTGTTTCCACTTCTGTTGAGTAAGCCCACAGAATGACAGGAAACAAGGTGTTTGGTGTGCTACTTCAACAAATATGCTTTGGCTGGTTGCATGGAAGTGCATGGTATAGTATACTCTATGTAAATAAACACAAAACATATTTTAAAGAGAATCCAAATACTAGAATCTCTTCCTAAATAAAGGCAGGGAGATCAAAGGACTAGTTGCCAGTACTGCATGTGATTGCCCTGAGGCTGATCTTTCCCCATTACTAAATTACCATGCCTTGTTCTACATGTTTTCTGTGTTGTCTTAGTCCAGACAAGGATTTACTTCCTCATGTCATATTGTCCAAAAGCAGGACAGTGGGAACATCAACAAATCTCACTCTAAATATCGTGAGACCAGAAGTCACAGAAAGCAGTGCCCTGGATCTCACAGATAAACAGCTATAACGTTGTAGGCACAGGAGTACCTAGGTATCATCAGGTACTAGAAAGTGTAATGCTATTTTTCAGCATGAATTCAAGACAAAACGGTATTTTTTGGGTACTGCTAAGGCAGAAATTACATTTCCAAATTTTCCCTATAACATAACTGCCTGAGTTCAGCTCCATACACTGCATGAGTGGAAATCTTGTACTGAGTGAAAACATTGGTAAATTATGAGAATAAAATGTACAAGTATACCACAAAAATGGTTTTAATGTTTGTAAATGCTGCCTCTTGCTTGTCAATCTCACTGTGCGATAGAATACCATTTCATTTAACAAAATCTCCTTTCAATCACCGATCTTCTTTGTATGTAAGAAGCAGGAAGGGGATTGCCTACTAGCAAAAACTGGCCAGCCAGTACACAATGCGACAACTCTGACAGCAGGAAGGGGATTGCCTACTAGCAAAACAGCCAGTACACAATGCGACAACTCTGACAAGCAGCCCCTGCTGACAGTGGTCGCATGACAGGTGAAGGCACTAGCTATCAACCAGCCTTTTAAAAGTGGATCATGGCTTCCAATCATGGGAAAGCTATTGCTGTAAATTAAATGGGACTAGTGATTTGTATTAATTTTTTTCCTTTTATCAGACTAAAAAGATCAATGGGCAATGTGACAGGATCTCCTGGTAAAAAATCCCCACCAGCTGATGCTTTCCACACCCTACACTGCTCTATCAAAGCCTTTGGCAAATACCCAGTGCTTCTGGGTAAAGGGAAACATGAGACCTACTCCAAGGATGCAATGCTAAGATATGATCAGCCCATAACAATAATCAAACACTGTCACCTGAGGAGCAAGAAGTTAATGATGAGTGAGCTCCAATGCCATCTAATACAGAGATTACCTAGCATTAGGACTGAGAACTATAAAAGAAAAACAGAGCAGCAGAGAAGGCTTGGGGTGGTTAGAAAATTATTAAATATGCTCTAAGATTCCCCTTTACACCTGTGTGATCAAAGTGGTTCTAAACACACAAGGTTTTTAACTTAATGCATTGTATGTGAGAAGAGAGTATCAATGGAGTCAGGAGTGAGCACGCGTGAGTGCCTCCATAACAAACAACTTGCTATGGTGGGCACTTGGGGTACTCTAAGAGCTCTAGCAGGGGACCCAAGAAGAGGAGGATCGATGCTGCCCTGTGCAAAACCATTATACAGAGCAGGTAAGTACAGTTGTGTCCAAAATTATTCAACCCCCAATGCTGTAAAGGGGTTTAGGGACTATAGTGTACATTTGGAATTGTATTCAGAATCAAATCCTACAAGGACGTTGTAACTACCCAAATGCAACTAAAATGACATCAATTGTTTATGTAATACAGTAGTAAATGGTTCTTATGTGGTTTCTTCATTGCCACAATTATTCAACCCCTTAAAGACTACCACTCTGAAGAACAGAGGTTCATACAGGTGCTTTCCATCAGGTATTGAAAACACCTGTGGATGTCACCGAGCAGCAATCAAGCATAATAAGCACCAATTAGGCAGCTTTAAAATGACTGTGATACTCAGCTCCTTCTAGACATTTACTGGTGTGGTTACAAACATGGTGAAGGCAAGAGAATGGTCCAGGAAGACAAGAGAAGAGGTGATTTCTCTTCACAGGAAGGGCAATGGCTATAAGAAGATTGCAAAGATGTTAAACATACCAAGAGACACCTTAGGAAGCATCATTCGCAAATTCAAGGCAAAGGGCACTGTTGAAACGCTACCTGGTCGTGGCAGAAAGAAGATGCTGACTTCGACTGCTGTGCGCTACCTGAAGCGTAGAGTGGAGAGAAGTCCCCGTGTGACTGCTGAGGAACTGAGAAAAGATTTGTCAGATGTGGGTACAGAAGTTTCAGCCCAGACAATAAGACGCACACTGCGTAATGAAGGCCTCCGTGCCAGAACTCCCAGGCGTACCCCCTTGCTGTCTCCAAAGAATAAGAAGAGTCGACTGCAGTATGCCAAAAGCCATGTGGACAAACCACAAAAGTTGTGGGATAGTGTTCTGTGGACTGATGAAACAAAATTAGAACTGTTTGGGCCCATGGATCAACGCTATGTTTGGAGGAGGAAGAACAAGGCCTATGATGAAAAGAACACCTTGCCTACTGTGAAGCATGGTGGAGGGTCAATCATGCTTTGGGGCTGTTTTGCTTCTGCAGGTACAGGGAAGCTTCAGCGTGTGCAAGGTACCATGAATTCTCTTCAGTACCAGGAGATATTGGATGGAAACGTGATGCAGTCCGTCACACACCTGAGGCTTGGGAGACGTTGGACCTTTCAACAGGACAATGATCCCAAGCATACCTCCAAGTCCACTAGAGCATGGTTGCAGAGGAAAGGCTGGAACATTTTGGAGTGGCCATCGCAGTCACCAGACTTAAATCCGATTGAGAACCTCTGGTGGGACTTAAAGAAAGCAGTTGCAGTGCGCAAGCCTAAGAATGTGACTGAACTGGAGGCCTTTGCCCATGAAGAATGGGCGAAGATACCCGTAGATCGCTGCAAGACACTTGTGTCAAGCTATGCTTCACGTTTAAAAGCTGTTATAACTGTAAAAGGATGCTGTACTAAGTACTAAGATTGAATGTCACTTGGGGGTTGAATAAAACTGATAATGCTGTGAGCACAGAAAAGACATTTGTGGTTATTTCATTATAACTGTTATGTTATATTTGTCTGACCTACAAGTGCCTCTTTAATGTAAATGTAAGCAAGATGACTGAATGATCAAAAGCAATGTCAAACTGGCCAAAACACTCAATTTCAGTGGGGGTTGAATAATTTTGGACACAACTGTATAACATGTTTGTTTTGGTTTTTTTCCCAACTTTACCTTTAGAATCCCTTTAAAGCCAGAAGGATGATATTGATATATGATATTGTGGATGATAGTGGGAGCTATTTATAACTATTTTAGAGAATAGGGAACCATGACAGCTTTTACTATTCTATACATATTAAAGCACATTCAATTAGCCTTGACATAAAGAAGGAGCTTAGTTACCCAGCAAGCGCAAAAAAAAAAAAAAAATATTCATAACAAAAACCCACCAAAACTTTGTCTTGTCTGTCTGTAAACAATTATATTTCTTCACCTGTCATTAGAATTATAGCTTCTACTAAAAGAACGAGTATATAAAAGTAAATAAGCAGACTTGATATTTCAGCCATTCTTATATGGATTAAAAAAATATTGAAGGTACAAACCTAGCAGACTTGAAAATAGTCCACAGTTTGTGGTTACTTACAGGACCTGAACACACTAATGACTCATCACTCATCTATCTAAGCTATCTACATTTTTACTAAGTCTTCAGTCTTAGGAAATAATCCTCACAAATGCTAACTATCCTGACAGCTTTCACAGCATGAAACATACACTGGTCAGTAATTTTCATTCCATTCCATTAAATAAGTAACTGATCTACAAAATGTTATTGGCAGCGTGTGGCCGGGGAAATTAACCCAGTACCTACCTTGGATGATATAATTCTGTTGTCTGCAAATTTCTGGGGAACATAATGGCCATGTTGAGGGAACCGGTTTGCAACGTATACTGTCCGTGTTTCACTGTGATTCGGAGGGTCACATCCCTAACAGAATAGAAAAATACAATTTTTAGGTGTATTTTTAAGAGAAACAGGATGAACAGTATCAGCCTTGAATTAGATTTAATGACAAGATTGTCTGAGTTGTTTTTGTAAATTACAACTTATGTATACAACTATAATACACACATTGGTTCTTCCCCTAGTGATCACCTGCAAATCAAACAATGTAACTCCTCAAACTAGAACCTTTTCTAAATGAAAGTAGTAAAAGTATAACCGCGCCTTTAGTACCAGCGCAGTCCCACCAGAGACTTTTTCAACAAGTCGCTGTGCGATAATGAGCACAGCTAACAATTTGCTGGACTGGAGATAGGCAAGCATAGGACAGGGAAGGAGGTCTGTCAGGGTTAGCCAGTTAAAAATGAACTGCACTATGTATGCAGTTACACATTTTAGGCTCCATGCACACTGTCTTTAAGAAAAAAAAAAAAAAATTGCTGCTTCTTCAGTAGTTTTGTGTTTTGCCTATAGAAGCAGTTAAATGTTATCCTGTGTGTTCATGCACATTAGAACAATTAGAGGTATATTTTTGTCTCAATGTTTCAGGCTGGAAAAAAAAAGCCCTTCCAGTTTTCATTTCTGATTGGAGCTTTCTGGCAAGAAAAAAACAAATGAAAAAAACAACTTCTAACGTTTTTTTTTTTGTTTTATTTAAGTGCAGTGTACATGTATCACATAAGATCCTGGTTTCTGTGAAGGCCTTTGGATTCCAGGCCTAGGCTGTCTACAGGAGACTTAGCCCAAACCAGCATTAAAGAGACTGAAACTTTACCCATTCTCTTACTAACCTACCACTCAAACCATGTACAGTATAAATGGTGTTAAGAGTGTGCGATGGTAAGAGGCTTTGTCATCATTTCTCTTTAATCACTGCCCCTACCGTTACGATTTAGCAATCCAGAGGAAGATTATAAACAGGCAGAATGAAGCAGTGCTGTTTTTGAGTCATGGATCTACAAGGTCCCTTTCTTTTAAGGCAGGCCATAGACAGGCTGTTTATCGGCTGAATTTTTGGCCGATAAACGAAAAATCGTTCAGCCCCCGTTGCCGATGCTGCCACCAATGTACAGCATGACCGATAAAAAAAAAAAAAAAAAAAGGGAAGATCTGCGAAAACCGGCGACGGGTTGGCCCCACTAACGGCGTGAATATCGACCAATTTTTCGTGCGGGTGAAAATTCGGCCGATAAACGACCCGTCTATGGCCTGCATTAGTGTCTTTATTTAAAGTGTTGATACCCAAATATTGTGCAAGCCATATCAATAACCCAATAATTCACATCTAATAGTTCTCAAAGTGCAATATGTAAATAGCGCAAAACATTTTTTTTTCCACAAGTGCATAATTATTATATTATCTCTGAATCCATATATAGATTATAAATACATTTAAACTATATGTAACTTAGCACCCTATATACTAAAGTACACCAGCATGAACGTTATACTGTATCATTATATACAAGAAAAATATTAAAGTACAAAGGGCCATTCTCTGCGGCCACACAACTTCAGAAACAAGTGAACTAATATCAAAGTGCCAAACAAAGTTCACACAACTGTGTTACTGTAATATAATCTGAGAGTTTCCTTCAGAAGAGTAAAACACACTTTAGTGTCCATTTATGTATCTTCCCCAAGAAGGTGCTTACTCAGACAAAAATAGACCCCTTAATAAAATGGTACAAAATGTGCTTCTGTAGATAATCTCCACATCTGTACCACCAGTTGGACTTATCTCGTAAAGCAGTAGTAAAGTCTCATGTTTGATTTATGCGTACAGGTAAGCATAAAATGAGGCATACCTGTAGGTAAAGTAAATATCTTCTAAATGTGCACTGTTTAGGTGATATTTACGTTAGTAGCAGTCAGTGACGTCATCACGGCTCCATGGAAGATCACAGCCAAATCTGACACATTCCACGCAAAACCCCCAAAATGGACCAGACAAAATTATTGGCACCCTCATTTTAATATTTGGTAGCACACCCCTTGGGGGAAAAAAAAAAAAAAAGAAATCACTGAAATCAGTTGCTTCCTGTAACTATCAATGAGTTTCTTACACATGAACTGGAAATTCCAACCACTCTTTTTCACCAACTGCTCCAGGTCTCTCAGATTGGAAGGGTTCCTTTTCCCAACTGTTGTTTTGAGATCTCTCCACAGGTGCTCTATGGGATTGAGATCTGGACTCATTGCAGGCCAGTTCAGTACCCTCCAGCGCTTTGTCTGAAACCATTTCTGAGTGCTTTTTGACGTGTGCTTAGGGTCATTGTCCTGCTGTAAGACCCATGACCTCTGACGGAGACCCAACTTTCTGACACTGGGCCCTATATTGCACCCCAGAAGTCTTTGGTAGTCTTCAGATTTCATAATGCCATGCACATGGTTAAGACATCCAGCGCCTGAAGCAGCAAAGCAACCCCAAGACATCAGTGAACCTCCACCATGTTTGACTGTAGGGACTGTATTCTTTTCTTTAAAGGCCTCATTTCTGCAGCGTTCAGGGTTCCAGATCTACAGCAGTACCTGCATCCAGAGGACATATCCATCCATCCAGGCTGTTCATCCGGCATTAAGGGAGACCTCTGAGCCCTGCTGCATATCTCTTCACCCAAGCTGGACGATCTGTATCCTAGAGGGGGTCCTGCTATCCATCCGGTGCCATCCACTTCAACTGATATATTATTCACATGCGCATTCTTTATGCGCGGTCGGTGAGTGCGCATTTCTGCTATTTTTTCACCAGTGAGACGTATTACAGCAGAGGAAGTGTTTTCTGGTGCTGCACACTTGATGAATTATATGAACTTTCACATCTTCTCACTTGTTGATTTATCACTAATGCTGATTTTTGACATATACTATATGAATCTTTCATTAATGAATTTATACGATTGATAGCGCTGCACTGTTATTTATTTAGAAGTGGTGCATTAGCTGACAGAAATGACAGTCTTGGCCATATATAATACTAGTGACTGGTGAATATATAATACTAGTGAAAGGAGGACAACGCTGAAAACCTCAGGACTGCACCCTCAAAAAGAAATCCGCAATGGTGTCGTGTTTGAACAGATTTTAAACTGTTCACAGTCAATGAGCTCCACATATAAAAAGATTTGATGGGTAACAGGAATACTAGCAGTATCAGAAGCTTATACAATGCTTAGGACCTAAAAAGTTCACTTTCAAACACTGGTTAAAAAAAAAGTTCACAGCCTCCTAGTATGACAATTCAGTCAGTCTCAAGCTTTGCATCAGACAACAGTCTACCAACTAGGGTATAGATGCATTTATGTAGTTACCGTATTTATAAACATCAAGCACCAATATCACATTTTAGGCCCCATTCAGCATGAAAGACATCATTTTTGCTACACTGCGTGAGTACAGCAGCATATTCATTTCAATGGGCAAAGAAACTTACGGACATACACTAAAGTATTGGGACGCCTGCCTTTACATGCACATCAACTTTAATGGCATCCCAGTCTTAGTTCATGGGGTTCAATATTGAGTTGGCCCACCTTTTACAGCTGTAACAGGTTCAACTCTTCTGGGAAGGCTGTCCACAAGGTTTAGGAGTGTGTCTATGGGAATGTTTGACCATTCTTCCAGCAACACATTTGTGAGGTCAGGCACTGATGACAGACTAGAAGGCCTGGCTCACAGTCTCTGCTCCAATTCATCCCAAAGGTGTTCTATTGGGTTGAGGTCAGGACTCTGTACAGGACAGTCAAGTACCTCCACCCCAAACTGGCTCATCCATGTCTTTATGGACCTTGCTTTGTGCACAGGTGCGCAGTCATGTTGGAATAGGAAGGGGCCATCCCCAAACTGTTCCCACAAAGTTGGGAGCATGAAATTGTCCAAAATGTCTTGGTATGCTGACACCTTAAGAGTTCCCTTCATTGAAACTAAGGGGCAAAGCCCAACCCCTGAAAAACAACTCCACACCATAATCCCCCCTTCCCCAAACTTTACACTTGGCACAATGCAGTCAGGTAAATACCATTCTTCTGGCAACCACCAAACTCAGAGAAATCCATCTGATTTCCAAACAGAGAAGCTTTATTCGTCACTCCAGAGAACACGCCTCCACTGCTCTACAGTCCAGTGGCAACGTGCTTTACATGACAGCATCCGATGCTATGCATTGTACTTGGCTTGGATGCAGCTGCTCAGCCATGGAAACCCATTCATGAAGCTGTCTATGCACTGTTGTGCTAACCTGAAGGCCACACAAAGTTTGGAGGTCTTTAGCTATTGACTCTGCAGTTGGCGACTTCTAAGCACTGTGCGGTTCAGCATGTGCTGACCCCGCTCTGTCATGTTACGTGGCCTACCACTTTGTGGCTGAGTTGCTGTTGTTCCCAGTTGCTTCCACTTTGTTATAATACCACTAACTGTTGACCATAAAATATTTAGTAGCAAGGAAATTTCACAGATGGACTTATTGCACAGGTGGCAACCTATCACTCTACCACGCTTGAATTCACTGAGCTCCTGACAGTGACCCATTCTTTCACAAACATTTGTAGAAGCAGTCTGTGTGCCTAGGAGCTTGATTTTATACACCTGTGGCCATGGAGGTGATTGAAACACCCGAATCCAATGATTTGAAGGGGTGTGCCAATACTTTTGGCAATAGAGTGTATTTGAGATGCACTTGTTCCACATTTACTACCCTGAGCTTCTTGCTTGGCACGAGACCAGGGTGCCATTAACAATGAATATCGCTGACAGCGTGACAGGCACTTTTGCCTGTTTCTTATACAAATGAAAAATTGCACAATTTTGCGTGAGTTGTCAGTCTACACTAGTATGAATGGGACCTCAGGGTGGCAAACCAAGTGTGTTAATCGCACGTGACAGCACAATGTGAAATTGCAGCCAGCTTTGGTAAGAGAAGAATTAAACATCTTTTTTTTCCCATTTACTGCTGTCTATGTCTGCAAAGTGTTATCCAAACTTTCTGTCCTGCTGACAGGTGCCAGTGAGACAAGAAGTGAGAGGCACTCTTCAATGAGAACAAAGACATGGATAAACATAGAAAACAAACGCCAGACAGAGGTCCTCATTCTTTGAAACGTGCATCAAACCAGAACCCCAACCAAAAATGTTTTGCTGGATTTTCTCTTTAAAAGATTAGAGTGTCAAAAATGCATGATCTTTTCTCTTGCAATTTTAACTGTGGTCACAAAGCTGCTCCACTAAGTGAACCAGAATTCTGTTGTCAGTGATACTTCCTGAGGCAGACGTCAGAAGCGCACAGCTGCGAACATTTTAAACACAAGGCATGTTTCTCTCTACTTCCTCCTGCTGACCTCCACTTATTGCAGGAGAATGTTGTGTTCTAGGGGTCAGAAGGGGGAACAAGTGAGAGTGGCAGGGATTCAGGAGGTAAACACTCTCAGTACTGTTAGTTCTCTTGTGGGCTTCAGCAGAAGTTTTCGCAGAATCAGAGCAACATTCAGTATGAGAAGCAGTAACAGTGTACATTCAGTGTTCTCTTACAGGTATGCCTTCTTTTGATATGTGCAGTATATTAAGCAGGGTCTCCTTAAATAGGGAACTCTAGGGATCCGCCTCTTAATGTTCCAGCACCCTAATGAAAAAGTAGTGACAATGATGCTATTGCTGCTACACCTCGTAAGAACTGCATGTCAACTTTCCCTAAAGTGACACTAAATAATATTCTTATTTTTAAAAAGTAGTGAGAAAGTGGGTGGCTACACTCCTTCTTACAGTAACATAATGGAGAACAAACATAGCCACCCTATACCAGGAAGTTGGATCATAGCAAGGTAAAAAAAAAAAAAAAAAAAAAAAAAAAAAGGTGTCAATTTGCTGTCCCCTCAAAATATGTCAACACAGCCATGTCTAAACCGCCGGCAACAAAAGATGCCCCTAAGTGAAAATGTCCAAATTGGGCCCAAAGTGTCAATATTTTGTGTGGCCACCATTATTTTCCAGCACTGCCTTAACCCTCTTGGGCATGGAGTTGTCCAGAGCTTCACAGGTTCCCACTGGAGTCCTCTTGCACTTCTCCATGATGACATCACAGAGCTGGTGGATGTTAAAGACTTTGCGCTCCTCCACCTTCTGTTTAAGGAATACCCACAGATGCTCAATAGGGTTTAGGTCTGGAGACATGCTTGGGCAGTCCATCACCTTTACCCTCAGCTTCTTTAACAAGGCAGTGGTCATCTTGGAGATGTGTTTGGGGTCGTTATATTGGAATACTGCCCTGCGGCCCAGTCTCCGAGGGGAGGGGATCATGCTCTGCTTCAGTATGTCACAGTACATGTTGGCATTCATGGTTCCCTTAATGACTCATGCAGCCCCAGACCATAACATCAGACCACAGAACTTGGTTCCAGTAATCCATGTCCTTAGTCTGTGTCTTCAGCAAACTGTTTGCGGGTTTTCTTGTGCATCATCTTTAGAAGAGACTTCCTTCTGGGACGACAGCCATGCAAACCAATTTGATGCAGTGTGCGGCGTATGGTCTGAGCACTGACAGGCTGACCCCCCCACCCCTCCAACCTCTGCAGCAAAGCTGGCAGCACTCATACGTCCATTTCCCAAAGACAACCTCTGGATAGGACGCTGAGCACGTGCACTCAACTCCTTTGGTCGACCATGGTGAGGTGTGTTCTGAGTGGAACCTGTCCTGATAAACCTCTGTATGGTCTTGGCCACCGTGCTGCAGCTCAGTTTCAGGGTCTTGGCAATCTTCTTATAGCCTAGGCCATCTTTATGTAGAGCAACAATTCTTTTTTTCAAATTCTCAGAGAGCTCTTTGCCATGAGCTGCCATGTTGAACTTCCAGTTACCAGTATGAGAGAGTGAGAGAGAACACCAAATGTAACACACCTGCTCCCCATCACATCTGAGACTTTGTAACACTAACGAGTCACATGACACCGGGGGAGGAAAATGACTAATTGAGCCCAATTTGGACATTTTCACTTAGGGGTGTACTCACTTTTGTTGCCAGCGACTTAGACATTATTGGCTGTGTGTTGAGTTATTTTGAGGGATCAGCAAATTTACACTGTTATACAAGCTGTACACTCATACTTTACATTGTAGCAAAGTGTAATTTCTTTACTGTTGTCACATGAAAAGATTAGAATATATTTACAAAAATGTGAGAGGTGTACTCACTCCTGGGAGATACTGTATATGTATGTGATTTTGCATTTCCGGATAGGAGGCGCAAGCACGCCCTACCCATGCCGCCATTCGCGGCTGTGGCTGTCAATTACTGGGTCCTGGCCAGTGATTACTCACAGACACCCGGTGATTGCCAAGCATCACCGAAGGAGAGGAGAAATGCTTCTCCTCCTGTCAGCTCGTGCACACTACTTTGTATGGCTGTGCACAGCACAGCCATGCAAAGCAGTGTGATTACAGTGAAGCACAGACACACAGACAAGTAAAACAGCACAGTTAACCCTTTGATCGCCCCTCATGTTAACCCCTTCCTGCCCAGTACAGTGTCAGTGCTTTTTTTTTTTTTTAGGAATGATCATTGTATTGGTGTCACTGGGGATATCAGTGACACCAATTCAGTTCCCCCCAGTGTCAGAATGCCCGCCGCAGTCCCGCTATAAGTCGCTGATCACCATCATTACTAGTAAAAATAAAACAAATGAAAAAAATCCAGTATCTGTAGTGCCATGAGGAAATTGGATTTTTACATTTTTTACTGGATATGTTTAATAGCAAAATTGTCGATCAGGGGATCAAATACCACCAAAAGAAAGCTCAAATTCATGGTGGGGGGGGGGGGTTGGGGGGGGAACAAATTTCATTTGGGTGCAGCATTGCACAACCGCGCAATTGTCAAAGTAATGCAGTGCCGTAATGCAAAACATGGCCTTGTCAGGAAGGGGGGGGGGGGAGGGGGGAGTAAATCCTTAGGAGGGCAAGTGGTTAAAATAGAAATGAAAGGCAAAACGTTGTATAGATATTAAAAAAAAATTATAAAATACCTTTTTCCCTTTATCTTTATAAGTGATCACATTCCCTCTGTTCGCAGCAGCACAGGAGTCCAGTGTCATTTGACTCTTTTGGAGCTCATTATAAATGGCTGATCCATGGGGATACAGGAAGAATCAGCCCTTTCTCCAGACTACTATGGCTGTCTGCATCTGTTTTATAAGTTGGCAAAAGACCAAAGGCCTCCTACAAGACCTAAACTCTGATTCTAATACAGTACCCTGGGAAACTGGCTATTTTCTATACTGCTTGAACATGTTCACATGGCTCTGGAAATTTCCAGTCACCTGGGACAGGTTGCAGCAATATTTAACTATCCTGCATCTCTGCTGAAAAAGTGAAATATTAAGAGACATACTGTGGGGTGGAATAATTGAATATGGGGCATTGTTTGCCTTACGATTACAGAAAAAGTTCAGCTCACAAGAGGCATGTCCAAAATAACTAATGAAAACAATACTTTGGGGGGGGGGGTATACACTTGAAGCCGGATTCCAGTCATTTTTTAATAATCTGCATAAAATCAGACATACCACCATGCACAGAAGATTAGCATGCGAGGCAGATGCACTGCACCACACCGTGGATTGCATGTTACTGGAATACATAAGTGTTATTCCAGCCATAACCATACTAAAAATGTGTTTTTGCCTGTGGCCCTGATGAAGGTTCTCCTCAATTTCTGTCCTGACAGACAAAGGCAAAAATAAAATCCTGACAGAAGCTCTAACCCTTCCTGCTCCATCCAAAACAAAAAGAAGTTGGGCTTGGGCTGCTTGTCTACCAAGGTATATTTATAAACATTCTGGTAGCCAAGAGCAAGTGCAGGGCTGCTGGTACTGAATTTGAAGCTGGAGATGGGTTTTCAGATAAAAGATCTGGCTGTCAAGCAATTACTGAATTGTAGGAAGAATCAATGAACTATGAGAGTGCTCACCAGTACCCTTGCAAATCATTAGAATTACAAG